TTCTTTGTTTAACAAGTAAATCAACTAAACAAAACATCAGCAACCTTAACTGCAAAATGAAAATGAGGCAAAGGCTTACCAGTCACAGAAGCAATGTGACTCCTTTCAGCTTTAGAATATGACACAGTAGTATTTGAAAAGCAGTCTATTCACATCAAAATCTAATTTTATCATACCAGCAGTGAATCATACTTGTATCTACGGACAATAGCTCAAGGAATCTTTCATATAGCTAATAATAAAAAAAAAAATAATATTGTTATGCACTTCTACTTTATTCTGTTTCATGTAGCTGTTTTCTACTTACTTAAAACTTATGAAATGGCATCAAAAGCTGCCTTCACTGATGTTGACTATGTAAACCCTGTCTGATTATACATAAAACTAAACAGTCCAAGACAATGATTTTTGTTGGACACTGAAGCCTCAAGAATTGTTACCTCAGTCTCTAAGACTAAAGATTTGGCATACAATATATACGAATTATAAATGCATGCTGACAGCATGCAGTGTTGCAAAACATGAGGCATTTAGTGTTTCCAGCTTCTATGCCACCAGAGAAAGAATAAAGCAACACTAAGTTCAGGTGAACTTTTCTAAGGCAAAAGAAAAACTTAATTTCAAGCCCAGTCAAGTGCAGGTATTTTACTTTGGGTTTTCTGAATGTTTTGTATATCTGTTTATGTAGTCATGACTGAGTATAGGCCTAAGTTAATGCACTAATTTGTGTTAGCTGAAGTTATGAAAAAATCATTACCACAGCTAAATCACACATTATCATAAGCAGAACACATTTGCAAATGCATAGAGCAGCATCCTGTAAATTAAGGTAGCATGTAAAAAGAGAGGCATATGAGAAATACAACTGATCTCTTGAACCTAAAGAATCTAAGTACAATGTCTGTTCATGCTATTAACAGCATTCAGCTATCAAAAGAAATTACTAACATAAAGTCCTTAAAATCTTCCATACAGCACCTAAGTTATGCAAAAAGTGCATTACCAACAATGAACAAGTGGAATCATCCTCATAAATAAACACTATCTGCATATGTCATATTCAAAAAGTCATTGATTCTGGAAAAGCAGACTATTTACATGATATCCTACTATCAAAAAGAAATCATGATACAAGCTCTAAAAAGATGTCTATGCATTCTGATTTCATTAGATCTTGACATCAATAACCACTCACATTAGGGTAGGCATCTAGGATGTGGTTCAGTATCTGCACAGCTTCACTATAGCGTTGTTCCTTTATCTGTAATGAAAGTGTAATTCATATATCCATTATTTATAATGTACTTCATTAACTTTACAAGGGACTTCATACAAAATGACAAAATACAAAAGACACCCAGATTTCCCTGATATAACTTATATTTTCTTGATTTTGTTCAGCCACTATAAATAGATTACGAGTCACCAGGATTTTGGTGCACACCAATAGCTCCACAATATGCTGAGCCTCTAAGGAGTTAATCAATAAGTCCTACATGACCACACCTGTTTTCCCTAATCTATGGGTAAAGACAATTGATAAACAAATATTATAGTGGGCATGATATGTATTCATGCCATCTGAGCCAATTGGATTAACCCTATGATGACAGGGCCTGATTTTTTTGTAATGTAATATTATGCTAGTCTAGATTTTGTGGCTAGGCCTATGTTGTGTACAGGCAGCCCACCCTTTAGAAGTCACGACATGCTTATATGTCATAGGCCATTCATTACCTCATGACGGCTATAGCTGTACCAGTCTCTGAAGGGTTAAGATTCTATGCTCGAAGGAAATTATATGATACACTATGAAAAATTAAACTGATAATTTTCTCAAAATCCATTGGATTTGGTATTGATAGTTCCCTTATGATGTCTATTGTGCTTTTATGATGGTTTTAGATGGTACTTGGCAACATACAGTATTCCACAGATTTACAAAAACTTTTTATTTCCCTTAATGATATCATAACTGTAAATAAATAAAGAATCACGGGCCAAGTGATTGCCAGCAGTGGATCTTCAGTGGTATCTGCAGGGTGACACATGATCTCTTCCTTATCACAATCAGTCCAGCGACAGTCTCCTTACAGTTATTAAGGAGTGGATCGCCCCTGAGTCGATCATCATCTGCTGGAAGGCCTACAACTGCCTTTTCCAGGAAGGGCATGAGCACCCGACCATCAAACACTAGTATCACTTTGTAGATCCAGAAATGCTGGCTCATACGAACATGATCAAGCAGCAAGGGAGGGAGGCCAAGAGGATGGTACTACTCTGTGGCTGCAGGAAGAAGCCCTTTGCCAGATCCCTGGCTTGGTGCATGTTCCTCATGCACTACCAGGACTTGAACACGAGGACAGACCACTTCCTGTATGCTGCAGCATCACTCTATCCTCTGGCCTAGGACCTCCTGGCGGACGCACACCGCCTCCATCACATTCTTCAGTATCATATGAACACCCTCCTAACCCTCAGCACCTCTATCAATTAGGTTAGAACCCTGTAATTCCTAGGTTATATAGTAAAGTGTAGGGTATGGAGTCAATACCGCATCTATTTCGTGTTCGCTCTATACATAGAGGATTCTTTGTTTCCTTGACAGGGGTAGGGGGCAGCATATTTGCATTATAGACAATGAGACAAATCCAATGATACCAGAATCGTCGTTATTGGTTATGTAAATGTATCTGAAAAATTTACTAAATCATATTATGGATATGTGATGACAAAATAGTATAGGAATTAGCAACATACCATTCTCATGTTCTAGTTATACACTTAATCTAAATACATAGACCAATCCAATGATACACTAACAATTATTTTCCATTCAGATTATAAACAAAGTAACATTAACATTACACCAGAAAAAAAGAAATCTAAAAAAATTCAAATCGGAGAGTAAAATCACATCCTCACCAGTGTATAAATTGTCTTAGTGTACTCTCCATCCCGAATCTGAATGTTCTGTAGCATCATCATCTTCATATGGTGAAGACCTGCTCAATTTCACTTCTTCGCCCCAAAGCTCCCTTCACTCTTGTCTCGCAGACTTGAATTCCTGTACCCGTGTGCGTCTTGGTGGAATGCGGTATGTATACAAACCGTTGCTAGGCAACGATCTGTTTTGTTTACACCGGGCACTTTTTAAAAGAATATCTACGTTTCCTTATATCATCATTATTGTCATTATCAGTCATATAAGAAGTAGTAGTTGCAGAAGTTGTAGTAATTGTAGTAGTAGTAGTATGTAGTAGTGGTAGTGGTAGTGGTAGTGGTAGTAGTAGCAGTAGTAGTAGTAGTAATAGTAGCAGTAGTAGTAGCAGTAGCGGTAATAGTAGTGGTAGTGGTAGTGCTAGTGATATTGAAGTGATAGTGATAGTGACATTGGTAGTGGTAGCGGTAGCTGTAATAAACATGATAATGGTGATAAAAATAATGATGACACTATTAATAATGATAATGATAATGGTTATGGTAATGATGATGATGATGATGATGATAATGAAAATAGTAACTATAAAGGTGATGATAATGATAATTATAATGATAACATGATAATAATAATAATGATAAGAAAAATACTGATACTACTACTAATAATGATAACAATGATAGTAATAATAATGATGATAGTTATTATTATCATTATTATCATTATTATCATTATTATTATTATCATTATTTATTATCATTAATATTATTATTGTTGTTCTTATTATTGTTGTTATTATTATTATTATAAAATGATAATAATAACAATGATAATTACAATAATGATACTATCAATAATATTGATGATGATAATGATAATGATGATAATGATGATGATAACATGTCAGGCCTCAAGTTAGCCCTAACAACAATCTTCGTTATGACCGTACTCTCGTAATTTAATCAAAGGTTATTTCAGATAGATTTAATATTATTTTTGGCCATTGAAACTTCAGATCAGTACAGCATCATTCTGTCCCATCATTCATCACTAATTATGGAAATATTGAAATTAATTAGATTAAGGATGATGGTTATAATAAGGTTAATAATAACGACAATCATTAAAATGATAATAATGATGATGATCACAATTATGATAATAATGATCATAATGATAATAATGGTGAAGAATTATGACAAAAGTAATGATAATGAAGATGATTATGATAATAACAATAATGATAATAGCAAGAACAATAATGATATTAACAATAATATTGATACTGGTAACAGAAATGAGAATGATAATAGTGATGCTGATTGTGATAATGTTAATAAAAACAATAATAGTAATAATGATAATAATAATAATAATAATAATAATAATAATAATAATAATAACAATAATAATAACGATAATGATAATGAAAATAATAATAATAATAAAAATAATAATAATAGTGATAATAATGATGATAATGATAATGATAATAATAGTGATAACAATGATATTGATAATGAAACAGATAATGAAAATGATGATGAATGATCATAATTATGATAATGGAAATAATAGCAGTTATGATAATAATGATAATAGTAATAACAATAATGATAATAACAGTTATGATTATTTGTACTATTACAGTGTTTGTTATCATCGTTATTACTATTTTTTACTATTATCATCATCATTATCATTTCTACCACTATCATTATTACCATTATTATCATTATTATCTTCATTACTATTATTATCATTATATTCATTATTACTGTTATTATCATATGATAATCGTGACAATAATATTATTAACGGTAATGATGATCCTAATGATGATGATTCTAATGATAGAAGTAATGATAATAATAGTAATGAAAAAATAATAATGATAATGACAATTATGATAATGATATCATCAATAATTATGATAATTATAGGAAATACTGATGATGATGATAATGATATTGATAATAATGATAATCATACTAATGATAATGATAACAATTATCATAATAATAAAAATAATGATAATGATGATTATTATAATGATAATAATAAGAATGATAATAATGATAAGAATAATGACAGTAACACTAATAATAAGAATCGAAATGAAAATAATAATGATAATAGTACAAGTGATGATAATAATGATAATGATAATAGTAAAAGGGATGATAATAATGATAATGATGATGATAATAGTAATGATAATAGTAATGGTGATGATTATTATGATAACTATAGTAACAAGAATGATAATCATTATCATCATCGCTTCTTTATTATTATTATCATCATCATTTCTTTATTATCATTATCATCATCATTTCTTTATTATCATTATCATCATCATTTCTTTATTATCATTATCATCATTATAATCATTATCACATTTATTATCATTATCATAATAGTAAGGTTAGTAGTGAAAACAGTGATGCCGATGACAGTAACAATAATATTGGCAATGGTAATAAAAACAATAATGATAGTATTAATGATCTTGATGATGATGTTAAAGATAATAATAATAATGATAACAATAATGATGATTATTATTGTTATTATTATCATTATCACTTCTCATTTCGTTATTAGTAATATTGCTATTATCATGAATATTTTCATAATGATAATGAATATCAATTATTACTCTTATTGTCATTATAACCGTTTACTATCATTATTAGTGTTATCATCATTAATATTATCATTATCAGCATCATTATCATTATTATCATTATTAAGATTATTATCATTATTATTGTAATAGATATTATTATCATTATCATCATGATTTTCATTATCATTATAATTATTATTGTTATTATTATCACCATTGTTCTTTTTTATCATTGTTGCTAATATTACCATAATTTCTTATAATCATTATCATTGTCACTATTACCATTTTCATTACCTTCACCATGTCATCATCGTTATTATTATAAGCGTGGTACAGTAACGCTTGAATCCCATTGAGAAAGAGGTTTGTTAATCATTTTTGTTGCTATTATCATCATTATTGTTATTATCATTAAATAACATCATCATGTTTTACTGACATGTTTTCTATTATCATTAATATCACGATTACCATGATTATTATTATTCTTCCTCTACATTTATCCGTTGCTGTGAAATATGAAGGATCCTTACTATACAATTCACATATTCCATTCTAAAGTTACCCTAAGGATACTTTGTATATGCATATCATCCATTACAACCACATCCTTTTATCAAAACGATATTCAATATAATACAAAACTAAAACATAATCCACAAACTAAATTATATTGCTTACATCAATGATCCCTCGAGGCGGCCAAACAAAACAGAAAAAGGTGAGAAATCCGTCCCCCTTCATAAAATAGTCGGTTCATCCATAATTCTGATTTGTTTTTTCAGATTATTTCCTGTAGTTGATTAATAAATATGAGAAGTATATTTTGGAAAACGACATTGGTAATTTCAGCTTCGGAGAAAAGGGAAATGAGAACCGTTAGCAGGGAGATATTTCGTTTTATTGTTTGTTTATGAGCATGACATTTTTTTCCACACTTTTTCGTATTTCTTATGAAGCGCAATAGATATATGTTTGTTTCTCTTTCAATATATGCTTTGGCGATGTTATTAGTAAAGATTAACCAAACAAAAGTCATTTACTTGCCCAATATATGGAGTTTTATGATATTTAAAAATGTTTGAAAAAATTTGTTTTAATTGTAATTCGACATTTTTGTGTTGGCTTTAAAAATTATAATTTTTGTTTCATTTATCTACCAGTCCTGTTGCTTGATTTTGTGTAAACACCAGATTGGAAACTTTCATAAATGTGGATGCAAGTTATTTTTAAAAGTTCTAATGTACGCAGTTATTGATGGATGACACATTATTTATATATTGTTTCAATGCCATTTAAATGCATTGTCATTGATGGCACAACCTAGTATTTCTCTGTTTAACAGATAAATCTCTGACAATCGATTCTAACACTACATAATGGATCGTGACAGTTCCAGTATTGTCTGCAGTGCAAATATGTAGATTTTATTGTGCAGAACCGCACCAAGACTCATATTCTTGGCCATGATAGAAAGGGAGGGCATGAGAGGTAACAGGGGAATTGGGATAAAATGTCAATAATATACACAGAATCAGTCACTATATTGTTTAATGCAGGGAACTGTGTCCCCTGAGATCCCCTAATGGGGGGCTGCTGCCCTCAACCCCTGCCCAGCAAAAAAACAAAAAACAAATAAAAGTTCCATGTGTTCACAGCTGGAGAGGGCCATGCGGGAGTGGTGTTGCCAAATCTGTCCAAAACACACCACTGTCATGAATGCTTGGAGGATATTTTGTTTTCCTGGGTGGGGTTTAAAGGTAGACAGCCCCCCAACTTAGTGCCTAATTCTGTGTATATTATTTACATTTTATCCTGCAATTTCCCTGGTAGCTTTCATACCCTCCCCTGCTATCGGGGCTAAGAATGTGGGGTTTGGGGGTTTCTGGTCAATCAATTCTGTATATTTGGAAAGTAGTCGTCACAATCCGTTATGTGGACATATTACTAAAAATTTCCAAATCTTTTAGATCCACGATTGAGCCAATCCATGTTGTGGGTTAAACAGGCACTTTGTTAATTTTGTGTGTCCGATGAATAAGAGAGTGAAAGCAGAAAAGGACACAGCCAGCTGGGTGCACAATATATTGCACAAATGCCACAAAGTGCCACAAAGAAATTAAACAATGCATATTAGGCTATTTCCTTCTGTCCATTTTTTCTTACTGTTTCCTGTGTTGATAAAACCATGTGATAAATGATAATGGAGTTTTAGTGTTGTATTCACAGATCAAAAGATGAATGTTTACAAGGCAATTGCAGTGGTTTTAAAAATAGAAGTTTCCCTGAGAAATTTATTGGCTGTGTGCCATTCAGAGCTGCCTGAAATATGCTTGTGAAGTGATGGCAGGTCTACTGTCATAACCATTAGAATATAAGGTATCAGAAAGGCAACATTAAGAATTCTAAATAGAACAAGACTCTTCATAGACCTTCACTGCCATCAAGCTGGTGAGCTGATCCAATTACAAAGATTCATTGAAGTACAAAGGATGACTCCAGCTCTATATTGATATATTATTTAAGCATTTATCATGGTGTCCCCACCTTTGGTGCTCCTGCAAGGAAAATCTATCTGGTATGTTTAGTGTCTGGAATGAGAAATTGCCAGGGATGTTATATAATCTTTACAGTATAGATGTGATATGCTAGGGCAAATAAAAAATAAATCAAAGGAAAATATTGCAGAAAGCACTCCTCACAGGCTATGCTGTGCATACTGAGGTCAACCCTCCCTTCAGGCAGTTGCCCAGTGACAACAATTTACATTGTAAAGAATAAAGTTAATGATGTGGAGTTAGAAGCTCAGCCTTTGGTGAGTGTGTCCGAAATGTAAAAAATTACTAGGATGTCCAAGGAGTCTCATGCAAAAATATAGCTACATGGTGGAGGCTTGTTGGCCTCTCATGAAATGCTCACAGCCTGGAGGTCAATGGCAGATGTGGGTAACTAGTAAACATTTATTTTTTAACACATTTTAAAAGCTTATGTACTCAATTCATTGTTATTATTTATTTATTTATATATTAATTTATTATTCCAATTAGGGATAGGATGGTGACCAGCATGAAATCCAACCATGATGCTGAGTGTCCCCTAGAGCAGTTCTTACAGGGGAAATGGCTTGTGGATTGCCGTTTCCCCCTCATTCCTGCATCAGAGCTTCTCCAGCATGGCCCCAAGAAGCGTACAAGGGTCACAGTGGACTGGGATGAAGAAGATGAAATTCTTGAGAAGAATCATAAAATGGAAAAGGAGGAGGAGGAGAAAGAGAGACCAGTAGACTCCAAGAAAAATGCAAGGGTTCCTAAAGTCATTATAAAATATCAAGAGAAGCATGCAGCTGAGAGTTTGAGGGTCCGTGGTGAAGACAATAAGCATACTGGGAACAAGGGTTCAGAGGCAAACCCTACACTTGTTTTGAAGCTGACCAAGGAAAGCAAGGAGAACACTAAAGGCAGACCCAAAGTCTTGAAGAGGAAGAGTATTGATCAAGAGGAAATCAGCCCCAAAAAGACCTCAGGAAGCTCATCCTCATCATCTGAATCATTAGGTCACACCATTAAAAGAGGGAAGCCAAGGAAGAGTACGAAGTCTGATGAGGATGGAGGAGAATCAACTGTATCTGAGTCACTGGATCGCACTGTAAAGCAAAAAGGCAGGCCAAGGAAGAGTTCAAAGGATAATGAGGAAAGAGGAGAGACGATTGCTTTTGAGACAGTGTATGATTGTGTCAAGAGAAGAGGCAGGGCAAGGAAGAGTACAAAATCTGAGGAAGATGGAAGAGAATCTACTGCATCTGAGTCATTAGACCACACTGTCAAGAAAAGAGGCAGGCCAAGGAAGAATACTAAGTCTGAGGAGGATGGAGAAGAAACAACTGCATCTGAGTCATTAGACCACACTGTCAAGAAAAGAGGCAGGCCAAGGAAGAATACTAAGTCTGAGGAGGATGGAGAAGAAACAACTGCATCTGAGTCATTAGACCACACTGTCAAGAAAAGAGGCAGGCCAAGGAAGAATACTAAGTCTGAGGAGGATGGAGAAGAAACAACTGCATCTGAGTCATTAGACCACACTGTCAAGAAAAGAGGCAGGCCAAAGAAGAATACTAAGTCAGAGGAGGATGGAGAAGAAACAACTGCATCTGAGTCCCAAGACCTAATACCCAATGGAAGAGAAAGACCAAAGGGGGTAAGAGAAGATGGAGGAGAAATTACTTCATCAGATTCAGTAGAACCATATGTCAAGAGGAGAGGCAGACCTAAAAAGAAGGAAGATAACAAAGCTAGAACAACTTCTGAATCCCCAGAAGCACCCATCAAGAGGAAAGGTAGACCAAAGAAGACCACAGAGAAGGGAGACAACAACAAGGAAACAACCTCCAAGCCAAAAAAACGAGGCCCAGGAAGACCTTGCAAAATCCCACAACAGGCTCCAAGGACTGAGAACCCCAGTGCGCAGGAGCCCCAAACAGTTGCCTACTCCCATTCCGGGCGGCCTATCTCAGGAAACAGAATGGTCCAACTGGATGAATCAGAACAGGTTAGCTCTGAGGATGAATCTTGGATTGACTACAAGGAAAAGATAAAAACAAAGAAGCAGGCAAAGGTGAAGGCAAAAACAAAAGAGGAGGGAAAGGAAACAAAGGAGGTGAAAAAGAGAGGAAGGAAGAGGAAAGATGAAGTTAATGCTGGTAAGGAGAAAAAGGAGAATGAAGAAGAGGTTCTGAAACCAGAAGGTGAGTTTTATTGTTTGTTTAATGGACTGTTATGTTTTTGTAATTTCACAACACTTTACACTTTTACCCACTCCCCCCTCTCTCTCTCACTCCTATTCCTTTACTTTATAGACTGCATAGTGACTGCAAAAAGAGGGACACTGAAATACCTGCACCAGAGAGAGAAGTACGTGAAAGCATTGGCCAATGAAGTACAGATAGATGATGACTTCTTTGCAAGCAAGGCCCCTGTCAAGAAGAATATGGTAAGGAAAACTTTCTTTTATACTTTTTCTTAATTAATTTTTACAGTATGGATGCACTAAGGTAGATGATATTCTTGTAGAGAACAAAAAGTTGTAGTCATTGGTACAAGAAATAATCTGTAGACAGGAACGATAATGCCACAGGTAAAAGAAAGAGATTTCGGAAATCGCTGCTCACAGCATAAGTCCACTTGGTCCTCCAAGTTTTGCTGTGCATATGAGGTGAAGACAATGACTCCCCATCAACCTTCCACACTGGCAGTACCTGAAAGGCACACCCAATCACAGCAACTTAGATTGTTGAATAAATTTTGTGATGTGGAGGGAATGAGTCTCTGGAAAGTGCATCTGTACTGTTAAGATTTACCTTTTTCTTTATATATTTATGTATTCATATTTTATATGGTTAGATGTATATTTATATATAGAGAAAATAATTTACTCATTTATTTATTTATTCCCTATATTCAAATACATTTTCATATATATTAATTCTTTTATCTATATTTACATAGATATTAATTCACTTACCCATATTTAGGTTTACATATGTACTTTATACATTTGTGTGTGGGGGTGGGGGTGGGGGTGCGTGCATGTGCATGTGCGTGTGTGTATTTTGTAACTCTCCACCTAAGGCAATAATTCCCACAGTTGCCATGGCCTCTAACCCTCAGTGCACTGGCAAACACCAACAAACTTTTACTGCATTGCATCAGCCTGATTGAGCCAGGACTGATGGCAAATCAACTGGTTGGCTTACAAGCTTGTCAGCATATGGATAGTGGAAGTTTTCTTTTGCTGGAGGGCCAGAGCAAGTGTTAGAGTAGCTGCAATAGCATCTTTGATAAACAATTATGGTCTTAACTATTCTTGCCACAGATTGTTTTCTATAGCTAATTTATCTCAAGATCCTTGTTTCTGGATTTACCATCTATAAGATTCAATTTTTAGTATTTTAATTCATGATATTGTGCTATCTTTTTCATCCTTTTAGAGGTAAATACTATGAAACACTGTCACCCACCACCATCCCAATGTCTGTGGCTGAAACCCTTAACTGTCTTTCTACATTGTTTAAAAAAAATTACCCTCTTTTTTCTGCCCCTCACTTTCACAGTTGGAGAACCTGCTCTTCTCTGCTTCCCCAGATGACAGTCTGACCATCAAGACTCCCCAGGGCAAAGGAAAGAAGGTCAGCAGCAACATCATCACACCACGCACCATGAAGCTGGGTCAATGGGCCAGTGAGAGCCCCTGGAGTGAACCAATAACGCCATCCACAGGGACCTCCCCGCTGCACCCCACTGACAAAAAGTGAGTTATTTGGCTTCATCATTGTCATTGCATTTTTCTTCTCGTTTTTCTTTATTTTCATCATCATCTTTGCCTTCTGTACTTATTCTATTTGTTTTCTTTCTTCATATTCCTTATTTTTCATTTTCATTTTATTCTTCCTTTCTTCTTCTACCTTATTGATTTTCATCATCTTTATCTTACCACCCCAATCTCATGCCTGTTGTCATGGGGGTCTTAGTAGATGAAGAATGAAGCCCAATGTAGTGGGGATTGCCCCTGCCTTGGAATTCAGCCCTTGCCTCAACTAATTTAGCATAGTCTCTTCTTCATCACCTTTCTCACCTCTCTCATCCTAATGTGTGTGAGCCGTGCTGAAAGGATGAAAGGCTGGCTTTCTGTCAGTCCTGAACGGCCTTTGTACTCTGTTTGCTATTTCCTCTTTACCCTTTACACTACCATACTAACCTACAGTGCTCTGCAACCTATGACATCTAGCATATTTTTTTCCTAGTGGTTAACTAATTTTTAAGGGCAGCCCAGTTTGATCGAGTCATAGTGAGTCATATTGCCATTTTTCCCTCCATATTCAAGGTATGTTAGGTTTTTTAAAGTTTTCTCACAGTCTATCTTTTTGGTATCCACAACAAGCTGTAGAAAAAGGGGGAAGGACTGCTCCTGGAGGCTCAAAGGTACAACACATTTCAGTCCGTGGTTTACCATGAATAGAAGCATGTTTCCTCCAGGCCCATCACGGTTTGATCGGGTCCATCACATTTTTCCCTTTCTGGTAAAAAGTTGGACACATTTTTCCCGTTTTGTCACGGATTTCTATGTGTGAAACATGGACATTGGGCAGCTTTGGAGTACATTTGTGGCTACATTACGAACAGAAGTCCTCAAAACAAATAGCAATTATTCTATTCAAAAGCTAGTGACGACCCTGGGAGCCCTTTTAGCAGGTGCTTCCTTGGGTTCCAGATCTGGGTCTGGGTCAAAATGCTTTCTATTATGTTTCTTTACTTTTAAACCAGTACACTGTATATTTAGTTCAGTAAATACAATTACTTGTAGCCTATAATCCCATTTCATTACTTAACTCGGTATCAATTTTCATTTCCAAAATTCCATGCTCACCTACTTACCTCCATCTTCCAGGGAGGCCCTTGATGTGATCTACCAACACATGAAAGGGCGCAAGAGGTGGCCACAGCCCATAAGAAAAGTGCTCAGTGAAAGTTCTTCCCAATCTATGCTGGATAGTACTTCTACCATGCGGAAACTAGAGCCCTTAGAGGTAAGAACATGAAAGAGAGAGTATTTATATGTCATAGACCTAAAAATTAAGAACTCTTTGAGTTGATATTAGATTGAAAGGTAAGAAATAGAGAAAGTATTTGATTTTCACATAGATTTAGAATGTATAAGAGAGTGAGTGTGAGTGAGAGTGAGAGTGTGTGCGTGTGTGTCCGTGTGTCTGTGTCTGTGTGTGTCTGTGTTCGTGCTGGATGTTACTTCTATCATGTGGAAACTAGAGCCCTTAGAGGTAAGAACATGGAAGAGAGAGTGAATTTATGTGTCATAGACCTAAAATTAAGAGTGCGAGTGTGTGTGTGTGCGTGCGTGCATGCGTGTGTGTGTGTCTGTGTATCTGTGTGTGCGTGCGTGTGTGTGTCTGTGTTTCTGTGCGTGTATGTGTCTGTTCATGTGCATGTGTGCATGCGTGCGTGCATGCGTGTGTGTGTGTGTGTGTCTGTGTATCTGTGTGTGCGTGCGTGTGTGTGTGTGTGTGTGTGTGTGTGTGTGTGTGTGTGTCTGTGTGTGTCTGTGTTTCTGTGTGTGTGTGTGTCTGTGTTTCTGTGTGTGTACGTGTCTGTGTTTCTGTGTGTGTACGTGTCTGTGTTCATGTGCGTGTGTGCATGCGTGCGTGTGTATGTTCGTGTGTGTGTGTATGTGCTTGTGTGCATGTGTGCTGTGTGTGTGTGTGTGTGTGTGTGTGTGTGTGTGTGTGTGTGTGTGTGTGTGTGTGTGTGTGTGTGTGTGTGTGTGTGTGTGTACATGTGTGTGCATGCGTGCGCGTTGTGTGTGTGTATGTGTGTGTGTGTGTGTGTGTGTGTGTGTGTGTGTGTGTGTGTGTGTGTGTGTGTGTGTGTGTGTGTGTGTTGTGTGTGCGTGCGTGCGTGCATATGTGTGTGTGTGTGTGTGTGTGTGTGTGTGTGTGTGTGTGTGTGTGTGTGTGTGTGTGTGTGTTATTTATTTCATTCCCAAGAAAAGATTCAGGGATGTTGAATTTTGCTACTGTTTAAAACATCCATTTTTACTTATTTCTTTTACCCACAAAAAAGTCTAATCTTCTCTTAAGAAATTGTTCTGATTAATTCATAATATTGATCCATTTAATCAGTTCATCTTGTTAAATTTTATTTGTACCTCAGCTCCCAACACTGCCAGAAATCCCTGAAGAAAAGGATGGTGAATCCAGCGATGATGACTACTTCAACTCAAGCGAAGTCAACTGAGGAATAACTAATGTCCTGGAATTAAATCTAGGAAGGGGAAATGCTTTCCAAGATATGTCAAAACTTTGAAGCTAAAAGTTGAGGACTGCCTTGAAGTATTGCCTCAAATTACTGTACCATATACATGCACCAGATTTTGTACACTATAGATTTTGAAAATCTTTGGTTTAGAGTTATATATTTTGAAGTTTTTCTTTTCTTCTAAGGATTTTCCTTTTCCTTTCTTTCTGAAGAACATAAAAAATATGTTTTGAAAGTATTGTAGATGGTAAAGGAACCACAAATTAGTAATACTTAACAGGCAGTTGAGTTTTTGTTTCATATGTGTATAATGTGTAATTCATCAGTTATGGAATCTCACTGTTTGTAATTACACTGGATTACTGTGATAAAAGGATCATCTATTCTTATACATAATTTGGTGGATGACTTGCTAGTAGCATTAAGGTACCTAGAGGTATTGAACACTGCCACATCTAGATTTCCTAATTACTGTAGAAAAGCACAGAGAATGACTGGTATAGTGCTTTGTGCTTTGTAATGTAGCTACAATGAAAGTGATTTATATAGCAAGTTGTCTTTGTATTGTTTCAGTGCCTATTGAGCCAGTTATGTTAAGGTCTGTTTGATTAGTAACTTTTAACTTGTACATGCTCCTTAGGATTTTACATGGTAAATATATATTTATATTTCAACTGAGACTGCATGGGAATTATTCATCTCTGTTATGACTACATAGTAAGAAATGAATGGAAAAACACTCTACCATGTTGATACTATGGTAGAAAACCCACAGTGCACAAACTAGATTTATTTGAAAAAGTGATAAATAAATCTAGTTTCTGCATTGTGGGCTTTTCTACCATAGTAAGAAATGGGATGAAATGCTTTAATACATTCCAGTTTGCCATTAATAAACTGACTTCCTGTACGACTAAGATTACAAAATTAGAGTTATAGTACAAAAAATACTCATACTTTAGATTGTCATAGGAACACCAAATCATTAAAAATAATTGTTTTATTTCATATTTTAAAAAACAGTTGATAACCATTACTTGAATACTTTACAACTTATGACAAAAAGCAGGGAATTTAGTTTGATACAAAAATCTTGTTTATGTAAGCGTGTGTGTACTTTTCCTTTTTTATCGATTATATTTACAGAATATCCTAATTCCTGTCTTCTTGTTTAATTTTTTTTTTTTTTCATTATTTTTTTAGATTTAACTAGTAAATATTATTTTTATTTTTTTTATTTGTTTTTACTTACTGTATTATTTGAACTATGTTAAGATATAAATCTTGCATTATTTTGTTACACAAGTTTGTCATATGAAAACAACTCTCAAATTTTCAGAGTAGTCTAAGTCTTTTGGACCTATGGTCTGTTGTAAATACCTGTTTTCATGAATGCTTTATTTACTCTTTTTTTTTTTCCTTTTGTCTCTTTACAAAAGAAATATTAAATGCTATTGAATTACTTTCTGGTTGTTTTTCTGAATTGCCTTGCTCTAAGACCTTTAACCCCTTGCTGCCAGGTGGCATGTTCATATATGCCATGGGTGTTGTGGACCAAGCAGCAAGTGTCATCACATAACTATTCCTATGCCAACAGCTCATCTGACTGAACTTGATAATAACAGCATCATTTTTATTATGAAACTTTTAGCAACAGCAGCTAAAGTGAAGGTAAACCTTCATTTTATAAAGCTTTAGGTACCTAATGTTGCCCACAAATTACCAAATGAACCAGGTGCAAACGGAAAACTCATTGCACACCAAAAACCCTGTGCTAATGGTCACAAGAAAATTTTTTAAAGCGGTGTTAATGGGTGATTGAAGAAAATTAAAGGAATTGGGATAAAACGAAAACAAAAATCAGTTACTTTACATAAGTATTTTATTATCAACATAAAAGAATGCTTTAGATAAGAGCCCCCCAATACCATGCTTGTTGTCGTGGGGGGGGGTTGGCTTTGGAGATGGAGATTGAGGCCCACTATAGGAGATCACCTCTTCCTTGGGCCTCAACCTTCGCCTCAACTAATTTTGCTTGGTCTTTTCTTCTCCATTCCTCTTCCGTATCTTCTTCATCCCTTTCCTCTATCTCATTCCTAAAGTGTGAGTTCCATATTGAAAAGATGAAAGGCTGACTTTGTGTCAGTTATGAAAGGCTTCCGGGAGCCCTGGGCACGGTATTCCCTTGATTAATTGCTTAGCCCTTACCCCTCGTGGGGACCCTGAGGGGAAGACCGTTTTTTCCCATTTCACTCTAGCTCACCATGGTCAATAATGGAGATTCTTTATCCTTAATAGGGGCATTAAAGCTTGCCCCTTCATCAGCTAGCCAATCTGAATTCGATTTTGATCGTTTTCCGACCCCTTCACCTTTGAACACGGTTCCGACCGTTGATACTAATACCTTTTCCTCAACGTTAACTGACAACTATGCATTCTGAAACACCCACACAGGTTATTACTCAACCTTCAGAATGCGCCCCTTCCTCTCTCACAACATTCTCCTCTCCATCTCCTACTGCACAGTCTACCCCCTTTTCCTTTATTACAACTCTTCATCCTTACTGTCTTACTCCATCCCCATAGTACTACCTCATGCACACCACCCCATCTTCCTCCTGCCCTCATCCTTCTGATTCCACCTCTGCAAACCTATGAGTACACTCTGCCTCAGCCAAATGGGATCGATTCTTTGTGATTCCCTCTACAGCCCCTGACTGACAATACCCTTCTCTTCCGACAATGTCACTAAAAACAAATAAGCAAAGTTTCCTTTCACAGTTGTTCCAATCGTTCATGCCATGTCACAGTTACATCTGAGTCCCAAGCCGGTGCACATCTACCCTGACCTCACTTGCAATCCCATTCCTGTTGACATTTTAGCCACCCAGCCAAACTCTGTCGCTCCTCTGTCCTCTACGTGCCCAACCTGGGCATGACCGTTCAAATTGCTCTGCTCAGTCACGTATGTGTGCCAATTGTGGTGGTTCCCATAATGTATTTCATGAAAACTTCCCTGCCTATAAGCTTGAATGTGAGGTAGCAGTTCTCAGATTCAAACTTGGCCTACCTCTACGTGAGGCCAGACAGGTGAAAAGGTTTTTCTCTCTCTACCTATTCCAGAACAGTCCTTTGCTCTGCCCCCCTCCCATCTTCCCAAGATGTCTCTGCATCTCCCCCAATATCTCTTCCCTTTACCATGAACCACCTTACCTCTATCCCCCCTCTACCCTAAATCCAGATGCTCCAGTCTCCAATGCCTACCCGTTCTCCTCACTTTCCCTGTCGCACCAGACAACCTAAACGTTCCACTCCATCTTCGCTTACCCCATCCTCTTCTAGGCCCTCCTTTTCCTCTGCTCCCTTCTTCTCAAAGAGAGAGAATGTTCCACTCCCTCATCCACCCTCCAATCCTCTATTCCTTTTCCCTCTATGTTCAAAGTATTTGTTGATATCCATTCTCCTCCCCCTCTCTTTCCCAACACTCCCCATATTCTCCTCCACCTGCACCATTCCCTATTTGTTCCCCATTACCCTTACCTCTCCCACCTGGATACTCATGTGAATCCCTTCTGTTGCAACAGTGTCCTTCGGATCCCTCCCGTCCTGACATTTTTCCTGATACTTTAAAGCCTTCCCCAGTCACCATAATCTCACCTTCCGGATTCCTTTCCTACTTCTCCAATAACTATCTCTATTCGTATTACTCATCGATAATCTCACAATAGCTCTTTTGCCAGTTTTCCTTAAACAATGTTTCTATACCTTCCCCAGCCACAGATACACTCCATTTCACCCAATCACCCTATGACCTTAACCCTTTCCTTTACTAATCTCCAATTTACATAATTTGCACCCCCTCTTTACCCTGTTCCTATCATACTATCCTATAACACTCTAACCTTTGATATTTAACATATTTTATCTTCTACAAACATTCTGAATACTCTGTTTAGCCAAATGTGATCGATTGCTTGTGATCACCTCTACAGCCTCTTACTCTGACGACACTCTCCTCTTTCCGCAATGTCTTCAATAACAAGTAGGCAAAATCTCCTTCCTCAGCCACCCCAGTCCTTCCTGTCTTGTTACAGCTACATCTTAATCCCAAGCATTATCTGACTGACTTCACTGGCAAACCCATTCCTGCCCAGCCTTATCCCTCCCTCAATACTTGTACCAGAATTGTTTCCATCTCCCCGACAAACTGCATTGTCTATGACAAGGATCCGTCAGATTGTGAAGACTTACTGGCCTGCTTAATGGCCTATGAAGCAGTATCAGTATAACCGTTCCGCCTAGAGACTGCTGTAAGTCCTCTACCTATGTTGCTGAGATTACTTTCTGTGGACATGATCTCCCCCTTCATGTTTATATTGGCGGAGTCCATCCCTGTATGACCATATCAATCTACCTCTGTCAATGTCAGAATTGTTGGCATCTAGGCTTTCCTGCCAGACACTGCCACTCCACAGCCTGATGCCCTCTATGTGCCCAACCAGGTCATGATTGGTCTACCATGCACATATGCTAGTTTTAGTGGCTCCCATGATGTATTTTACTGGAGCTATCCTACTTACAAGTTTAAGCCTGAGGTGGCTATTCTCAAATTCAAATTTGACCTCACTTAACTCAAGGCCAAACAGGATGCACATTAACGAAGTTTTTTCTTTTATTCCCTACGCCAGTGCTGCCCTTCACTCTGCATCTCCCCCTCCCTGCCAAGGTGTACCCTCCATCTTATGTTTTCCCTTCTACCCTCTCCCAGTCAAATTCTTTTGCCATTCTAAATCCACACACCCCAATCACTATTCCTCCTCACTGTACCTGTAGCAGACACCCCATATTCTACCACACCCTCACCTCCACCTACCTCTTCATCTACCCTCAGATGCCGGTCTCTTATTCTCCCCCTCATAAGAAAACTTTCATTCTTGAAACTTCCCAACTCCAGTGCAGAAACTTTAAAATATTCAAAACTTTCTAATAATGTCTAAAATCGACACAGAAACCCCTCATCCACCATCTGATCCATCTCCTTCTCATGTTCCCCCAACACCCCTGACCCTAGCGACCCAGCACACCCCATCCCCCTGTCCATCCCTACTGTCCTTTCACATGAATCCCTTATGTGGCAACAATACCCTCCCCCAGATCCTCCCCCTCCTGACACCCCTGCTGATACTTCACATCCTTCCCCTCACCCCTCATCTCATCACCATTCTTTACCCTCCTTCTTCGACACACATTTTTACCCTTATCACTCTTGGATTATTTCTTAACTCCTCAGAGATGGGTACGGCTATAGCCGCCATGACATAACGGCCTATGACGTCATGTCATGACTTTAAATGGGTGGGCCGGCTGTACACAGCTTAGGCCAAGCCACAAAGTCTAGACATGCATTATATATCACAAAAAATCAGGCCCTGTCATCATAGAGTTAACAGCTTTTCTGCGTTGTAATATTCACATTTTCCGTTCTCACAGACCTGATCTTTGTCAAATCCTTTTATCTTTTAACCAGTCCATTATCTGCTTCCAAGAGTCTTCTCATATACAGACCACAAATCTCCTTCATCCTCATGTTACCCTATCCTCCACTCTTAATTATGGATGCCATACATATTTTTCTGCCTCTACCTCCCTTATTGCTCATCTTGATATAATCCACCACTGCGGGATTTGCTTAGCTCTAGGCACCTTCTGCTCCTCGCCAGTTGAGAGCCTACATGCATGCCAACTTTCTCTTGATGCCATGTCCTTCTCTCTCTCCGATGCTATGCTCGCTTGCAACAACTTTCCCTCACCAAACAAGCTATCCCTCCATCTCTGCTTAATTTTGGTAATGATAGTAATGATAATAATAATATTGATAAAGATAATAGCAATGAAAAGACTGATAGTAAAAATGAGAATAATGACATAAAATATGATTATGAAAATAGTAATAAAAATAATATTAATAAAGAAAATGATTATGATAATAACAATGATTTTAATAATAAAAAAACAATAATATCTGATGATAACAGTATTGATGATGACGAAAATGATGATAATGATTGTAATGATAATAACAATAACTTCTGTTATAATAATTGTTATAATGATACCAACAACAATGATAAATACAATAATGACGATGATAATAGTAATGATAAGGATAGTAACAATGATAGTAACAATAACAATGACGATGATAATGATAATAGTGATAAATAATGATAGTAATGAAAATAATGATGATAATAAAAATGATGATAATAATAATAACAAAATTGATAATAATTGCAATAATAATGATACTAGTAATAACAATAACATCAATAATGAAAATGGTTATACCAACAACAACAAAACAACACCAGTAGGAATAATAAAATCAATATATGATTAGATATATAACTTTCAAAATGTTCAAAACGTTTCAAAATGTTTAAAATGGTTCAGAAATGATCTC